TGTGAGTGTGCCATGATGCCTTCAAAACATGTGCTCCAAGATGGAGACTCTCATAGTTTAGAGTTAGGACCGCACTATAAGAGGTGTCTCCATCTTGGAGCACATGTTTTGCTTTACCGATTTGGTGCAGCGACGCATGGGGTTTCTCAGCTGCCAATGGGATGTGCGGGATCCCTTGTGTGTCTCTGTACCTTTAAGGAGGTGGGGCGTCCTCCTGACAGGCCTGCACCCAATTTGATATCTTCTGCCCCTATGTGCTCCAAGATGGAGACTCTCATAGTTTAGAGTTAGGACCGCACTATAAGAGGTGCCTTGGCGCGGCAGTGCGGCTTACACATCCTTTGCAGAAGACGTGTATCCAAACCTCTGTCATTGTCCTTAGTGGTGAGACAAGTTGTTTTACATGCTGGTTTGTGAGTGTGCCATGATGCCTTTCTACTGTACCACTGTTCAAAGCCCATTTCGTGTGCACCTTACTGTATAACTGGTAACAAATTGTTGAGTGCGTTTGTCGTTTGTTTTGCTTTCCCAGACAAATTATGCCCCCGGAAATGTCTCACGTGTACCACACAGTCAGAAGCTGCATACAGAGCATGTGCCGGTTACTATTTAAACCGGTGCGCGATGTATGCAGCTTCTGAGAAGGTACGTTATTAGTGTAGCCGGGAAGCCGGGGGCACATTTTGCATAGCTCCCGCTATTCTAACAGCGCAGTCTGTCAGAAGCTGCATACAGCGCGCGGGTTTATATAGTAACCGGCACACGCTGTAAGCAGCTTCTGACAGCGTGGGAGGTTGCGCAGGATCCAGGGATAAGGTGAGTATAAAGAAAACATTTTTTTACATTTTATTTTATGTTCCCGGGGACATTTTCAAATTTACCAAATACACTGCATATATAATTTGAGGAAAATATGCTAATAAAATAGCCATTTTATTAGCATATTATTATTTTATTTTATTAGCCAATACCATTTGCCAATAAAAAAAAAATGTCCTGTTCATTTTAAAAATCTGGTCACCTTATTCAATGGGCCTCTCAACATACTACTAAAACGTAGTACAGACATGTCACATAACTCCCAACTGTCCCTGATTTGGAACCAGACCCCTTTGTCCCTCTTTCCTCCTTAGTTGTCCCTCTTGTTGGTCTGATGTATCTATGAGAATGTTCTATTTAACTACCAAAAGTGTTATTCTGCACTAAATCTTTCACCTTATCCCTTAAAGGAGAACTATGGGGTTAAGGCTTTTCCCCATAGTTCTCCTTAGGGTAACGGGAGGACACAAACTAGCGTCCTCCCGTCACCCTAGGCTCAGCGTACTGAGACGCCGCAGTATACCGCGAGCTGCTGCTCGCGCTATACTGAGACGCCGCAGCTGAAGCGGATCCCGACAATTGTGTCGGGATCCGCCCAGCTGCGTCCCTTACAGCTGGCTCTGCCTATCTAGAGGCAGAGCCAGCTGTACCCACCCCCTCCCCTGTCCGTTCCGCCAGTCAGCGCTAGCGGATGGGAGCGGAGAGGGGGGAATCCCGCCCCTCCCCTGTCACATCAGAGAGCCGTGACAGGATCAAGAGGTGAGCAAACGCCGGTATGTGTTCGCTCACCTCCCGATCTACTGAGCCGACCTGTGACAGTCTCATTGTCACAGGTCGGCTAGAACTATGAGGTGAGTGAAAAGCACTCACCTCATAGTTCTCCTTTAATTATCTTGTTTGTAAAACCATTATACAGTCAAATTCTGGGTTTAGTCATTTGTAACGTATACATTGTTAATGGTCTTAAAGGGGCATAGCAGGGGTGTGTCTAATGACTAAATACATTGTGCTGGAAAGTGTCCCTCTTTCTCATCTCAGTTAGGAGGTATGATGTAATATTTGTCAAAACGCACTGCGACGCAGTGCTGAGATTGGAAACAGACACTGAGAAAGTTGGACATGTGCTTTAGTGTGTTACAAAGCATGCATTAAAGTCGAACAGTAGACATGTGCGATTCGTTTCGTTCCGAAACAAAATTCGGACAAAAATTCGGACATTCGGATGTATCCGAATTCCGAATTACAGATATAACGAATGCAAACGAATCCGAATGTCAGTTTCCGAAATTCATTAGCGGTAGTTCGTTTCGTTTTTCATTTCTTATTCGTTTCGTTCATTTGTTCGTTCGTTGCAGCAAAGTGGCATTAGAGAAGGAGAAAAAAAAAATTCCCCTCAAATGTCACTTTGCTGCAACGAACGAACGAATGAACTAAACGAATAAGAAACAAAAACGAACGTTCGAACAAACTACCGCTAACTAATTTCGTCCGAATCCAAATTGACTTTCACAGCCGAATCACGAAATACGAAATAACACAAAATCCAAATCAAAACGAAACGAAACACATTTTTTGCCAGTGCACAAACCAGACCCCTTTGTCCCTCTTTCCTCCTTAGTTGTCCCTCTTGTTGGTCTGATGTATCTATGAGAATGTTCTATTTAACTACCAAAAGTGTTATTCTGCACTAAATCTTTCACCTTATCCCTTAAAGGAGAACTATGGGGTTAAGGCTTTTCCCCATAGTTCTCCTTAGGGTAACGGGAGGACACAAACTAGCGTCCTCCCGTCACCCTAGGCTCAGCGTACTGAGACGCCGCAGTATACCGCGAGCTGCTGCTCGCGCTATACTGAGACGCCGCAGCTGAAGCGGATCCCGACAATTGTGTCGGGATCCGCCCAGCTGCGTCCCTTACAGCTGGCTCTGCCTATCTAGAGGCAGAGCCAGCTGTACCCACCCCCTCCCCTGTCCGTTCCGCCAGTCAGCGCTAGCGGATGGGAGCGGAGAGGGGGGAATCCCGCCCCTCCCCTGTCACATCAGAGAGCCGTGACAGGATCAAGAGGTGAGCAAACGCCGGTATGTGTTCGCTCACCTCCCGATCTACTGAGCCGACCTGTGACAGTCTCATTGTCACAGGTCGGCTAGAACTATGAGGTGAGTGAAAAGCACTCACCTCATAGTTCTCCTTTAATTATCTTGTTTGTAAAACCATTATACAGTCAAATTCTGGGTTTAGTCATTTGTAACGTATACATTGTTAATGGTCTTAAAGGGGCATAGCAGGGGTGTGTCTAATGACTAAATACATTGTGCTGGAAAGTGTCCCTCTTTCTCATCTCAGTTAGGAGGTATGATGTAATATTTGTCAAAACGCACTGCGACGCAGTGCTGAGATTGGAAACAGACACTGAGAAAGTTGGACATGTGCTTTAGTGTGTTACAAAGCATGCATTAAAGTCGAACAGTAGACATGTGCGATTCGTTTCGTTCCGAAACAAAATTCGGACAAAAATTCGGACATTCGGATGTATCCGAATTCCGAATTACAGATATAACGAATGCAAACGAATCCGAATGTCAGTTTCCGAAATTCATTAGCGGTAGTTCGTTTCGTTTTTCATTTCTTATTCGTTTCGTTCATTTGTTCGTTCGTTGCAGCAAAGTGGCATTAGAGAAGGAGAAAAAAAAAATTCCCCTCAAATGTCACTTTGCTGCAACGAACGAACGAATGAACTAAACGAATAAGAAACAAAAACGAACGTTCGAACAAACTACCGCTAACTAATTTCGTCCGAATCCAAATTGACTTTCACAGCCGAATCACGAAATACGAAATAACACAAAATCCAAATCAAAACGAAACGAAACACATTTTTTGCCAGTGCACATGTCCACCGAACAGTGGAAATAGGCCTTAGTAAATCAGCTTTCATATATCAGTTGTAAATATTTTTATTAATTTAAATGTTTTAAGAACATAGTTGTACTAGTTCAAATGCATAGTTTGTAATTCTATAATGCATTTGGAAGGAAAAATGGTTGTCCCTTGCTGATCTCACTGTAACCGATTTGCATTGAAGTAAATGGAGGCTGCTCACACCTTTGCGGTTTGTCGCGCGAAATCGACTGTTGCGCGAAAAGGTGCAGGAGCTATTTTCGGGCATTTGTCTCGCAGTTTGGGTCCCATGGACATCTCTATGCATTGAAAAACGCGCAACAACCGCGCGGTTTACAATAAACAGTCACGCGATCGAAAACGTACGACAACCACGCGAAAACAGCTCGGCATCTGAATCGCCTGGGTGTGTACCTAGCCTCAGTTTTTGGATTAGTGATGAAAGTGATGCATGCAGATATTCTAGGTTTTGAGAAGGCTCTGCTGTACTTTGCTGTTTGCATGTGAATGAGGCCTACAATTGAGATAAAGGGTTATACATGTGGTCTTTTTTGTCTTTCAGTAGAAAAATCCTGGAATGTGCTAGCGGTTCACTGAGCCGCTCTATTGCTGGATGCCTGCAGATAGCATTTAAAACGTAACCTCTACCTTTGCTGAAGATTTATTACAGCACTTTTAAACCAAATCTTACTTCTCTTTTCTCGACTTTGGTAAATGAAATAGAAAATTGATTTGGGGCATCATCCCCTGAGACACATTACATATAACTTAAAAAGAACACAAAACCACCCGGCTATTCTCTGCTGTTGCTAGGCAACTGGCCATTACTCGGTGATACTTAATAAACTAGAAACTGTAGAGAGCTTCTAAAATGCTCCGGATATTTACAGTGTTTTCTTTGTTTGTTTTTGTTTTTTTGCCTGATGCCGTTTTGCAGGATACAAGCCATATTTCCCTACTGTGTAAATTCTGAAACATACGGATATTCTAAGTTAAATAAATTCAGAGAAAGAACGTGAATGCATTTAAAAAAGAAGTAACCTTTTCAACTGTATAAAATAATGATGGATTTCCTGTTCAGTATGGTGGAGATTCAGGCGTATAAATGATTTATGAATCATGGAAAACGTCTATTAAAAAAAACAAAAACGTAAAATATAGTGGTCAATTTATTTGAACAAATGGATGAATAAAGTATGAATTTAAATGAAGGGATGTAGACTTATGTAGATGTAGACTTTGATTCTGTGGTTCTAGATGGTTCGGCATATAAGTTCAGGAATACTAAATAAAAAAGTTATTTGTAAGAAATGCGGAGGCCAGCATTGCTTATCTCCTTCTGAGAGTGCTAGTTCCCTGGCTGTCTCTGCCCCCTTCAAACCTGTGCGTTGTGGTGCTGTTTATTCAAAAATGCAACTCAACTCATCTACATTAGTAGCCAAATCATCTGTGCTGCAGCATACATGCCATCTCTTGTAGACTGGAGAGGTACGTTTTCCCAGTCTTGTATTGCAGGGAACTCTTTTTTGGGGGAAGCAACAGAATCACTTTTATCAGAAAGTCCAATCTTTTACCAGAATGTCTATGTATTCTAAATACATACCCTATAATTCAAAAAGTGGCACAGACACTCTTTAGAATAGTGTCTGCACCACCATACGACAAATGTAATATACATGTCAGAAATGAATTTTTCACCTGCCTTGTGCACAGGTCTCAAGGGTGCTGTGAACACTAGCTGCATTGGTTGGTAGGATGCTGATGGCCTCGTGGTCAACAGCATTCTGGCAACCAAATGATGTTGGGTTGCTGAGACTAAGGTGTCCATTCACAAAGCTGCTGTAGGCAGCCGAGTGAATAACCGACCCGAAGTGAAGTGAGCCGAACGCTGTAAAATCAGCCGTGCTGTGGCTGGCTTCGGGTCAGCCAAACATGCTCAGCATGTTCGGCCGACCCGAAATGCAGAAGGGGTTCGACTCAGCAAATCCAACATCTGAGGCCCCGTTCCCACTGCGCGATATGCAAATTGCGCGTTTGTCGCGCGATTTGCATATTGCGCGACATCGCAAGATTTGCAGCGCGATGTCGTGTTCAAGCTTGCATTGAGCAAGCTTGAATCGCGGCTAAATCCGCTCCAAAAAGGGTCCTGCTGTAACGACACGCGACAGCAGGACCCTTTGCCCCCATTGGATTGCATTGGAGCGCGATATCGTGCGGTAATTTGCCGCGATATCGTGGGAATTACCGCGCGATAAATCGCTCAATGTGAACAGGGTCTGAATCGGCTGAGCCGAACCTCCGGCAGGCTACTCGCTGCTGTCCTGCCTAATCTCATAGATGCCGAACAGGAGTGAGTGAATAGCCGAATGCCGCCAAGCGGCATCCGGCTCGGCTATTCTGCTGGGTACCTCTGTGGTGCCAAGCAGAATAGAAAAACAGTTAAAAAAGTAGAAAAAATTAAATAGAAAACGATTGAGCGCAGCTTGCAGTGTGCAGCTAGCTCCGTCCAACTGTTTCACATTGCAATAGCAAATAGCAAACTAGCTATTGCACCCACCTTCTGATGCTGTCAATCACTAGAAGGGGACCTGATGGAGAATGTCAGGTCCCCTCTGCTGATTGACAGCAGCAGTGGGCGGGTGCAATAGCTAGTTTGCTATTGGCTATTGCAAATTGAAATAGCCAATAGGAATGTAGCTATGCATTCCTATGCTGTTTTTTTTTTATTATTCTGATGGCAGCGAACGGCTCCGATGTCAGACGTGTTCAAGCTTGCATTGAGCAAGCTTGAATCGCGGCTAAATCCGCTCCAAAAAGGGTCCTGCTGTAACGACACGCGACAGCAGGACCCTTTGCCCCCATTGGATTGCATTGGAGCGCGATATCGTGCGGTAATTTGCCGCGATATCGTGGGAATTACCGCGCGATAAATCGCTCAATGTGAACAGGGTCTGAATCGGCTGAGCCGAACCTCCGGCAGGCTACTCGCTGCTGTCCTGCCTAATCTCATAGATGCCGAACAGGAGTGAGTGAATAGCCGAATGCCGCCAAGCGGCATCCGGCTCGGCTATTCTGCTGGGTACCTCTGTGGTGCCAAGCAGAATAGAAAAACAGTTAAAAAAGTAGAAAAAATTAAATAGAAAACGATTGAGCGCAGCTTGCAGTGTGCAGCTAGCTCCGTCCAACTGTTTCACATTGCAATAGCAAATAGCAAACTAGCTATTGCACCCACCTTCTGATGCTGTCAATCACTAGAAGGGGACCTGATGGAGAATGTCAGGTCCCCTCTGCTGATTGACAGCAGCAGTGGGCGGGTGCAATAGCTAGTTTGCTATTGGCTATTGCAAATTGAAATAGCCAATAGGAATGTAGCTATGCATTCCTATGCTGTTTTTTTTTTATTATTCTGATGGCAGCGAACGGCTCCGATGTCAGAAGAAAAAAAAAAGAAAAGACAACAGAGAAGGGAAAGGTTTACTCTGCTCAATCGAGCAGAGTAAAACTTTCCGGGAGAAAGTGTTTTTCTCCCGGGCGGCCGGGGGCGGCTATCTAATAGCGGGAGACTCCCGGAGCATCCGGGAGAGTTGGCCTGTCTGGAGATCAGCATCCCTGGTTACCTAGTAACCAGGGACGCTGATCTGTCTGTGCAAGTGGCCGGAGCCAGCATATGCCTTCGGCTCGACTGAGCCCCTCGGCCAACTTCGGGAGCTGCACTGAACCGAAGGGGTCCTGGGGTCGAAGCTAGCCGAAGGATCAGCCAAAGCTATGGCTAGATCCTTTGGCAGCTTTGTGAATAGACCCCTAATTGTTTTCCAGGACACTGGCTGCTTCTTGGCAGCTGACATCCTAGCAGCTGCACGGGCCAAACCTGATTAGCTTCTAGGTAGACATGTGCACCGGCAAAAAATTTGTTTAGTTTCATTTCGTTTTGATTCAGATTTTGCTTTATCTCGTTTTTCGGGATTCGGGTCCGAAAGTCCACTCATTTCAGGATTCAGACGAAATCCGTTAGCACTCATTTCAGGATTCAGATTCGGACTAAATTCGTTAGCGATAGTCTGTACGAATTTTCGTTTCCGTTTTGTGTTAGTTTTGTTGTTTTCGGGTTTTTTTAATGTCACTTTGCTGCAACGAAAATTTGTGCACAAACGAAAATACATACAGACGTCCGAAATTTCGTATTCGGAAATTCAGATTCATTTTCTTTCATCATTTCTGTTTTTCAGAAATTCGGATACATCCGAATCTCCGAATAATGAAAATTTGTCCGAAAAACTAATTTTTCCGAAAACGAATCGCACATGTCTACTTCTAGGCCTCTGGGCCACCAGCATCCTAGCAAACATCAAAAGTGGGGGGACAAAACTCCTCACACGCGACACAAATTACTCTCACACAGATGGGTCAAGGCTCCAGCCACTTCTGCTCCCTTGCTACTTCCTAACGGTCACACGATACTCCTCTTTGACCACTGAGCGGTCACTGATAATGTAACTCCTGCACATATGCTATTACATCATCCCCAGCACTCGGCTTCATTCCTGTTTATCTTACAGATTCCAGAAAAGAACAGGGAATATACATTGAATGGTGAATTCATAGACCTAGAAAATAGAAAACTGATCTGAGCCAGTTGGGAATTACGCATGTCTCTACTGCCAAATTTTTATTTTTATTTTGGGTCTACCTTTAGTTCTACCTATTTTGCTTTGGTTTTGCTGATTTTAGAGACACATTTTCACCCTATAAGTTCAGCTCTAAGGCCTTGTTCGCACCAAGCGCGGAGCAGATCCGGACCAGAGCAGGTGCAGACCGGATCAAAACTGCGTCCAATGTATTCCTATGGTATTTTGACCTCCAGTTCACATCGCAGCGAGCGGATCCAGACTAGATCCAGACCAGATGAAAAAAATGCGGCAAGCCCTATTTTACCTGCTCTGGATCTGGTCTGGAACGCATCAAAAACGCATCTAAAATGCAAAAACGCATCAAAAACGCATGCAAGTGCCTGAAAGTCCATGTTAAACGTAAAATACATTTTTTTTTTTTTTTACCAAAACCGGCCCTAAACGCATCAAAAACGCATCCAAAACGCATCCAAAACGCGGCACAACCCACTACACTGCATGTGCAGAAACCTGACCGGATCTGGTCTGCATTTGGTGTGAACAAGGCCTAAAGAAGAAACCTGCCAAGTATGAGAAAAACAGCAGATAGAACAGAACCATTGATTTCAAGAGAACAGAGTGGTCAGTGGAGCCAGCCAATTGTAGTAAATGGAGAAAATCTATTAAGGAAGAAAGGAGCGGAACATTTTGCCATTTGATCTAGGCCACTTGTGGCTATTTCTAGGCAGTGCCTTAGGCCTCATTCACACGAGAAAAAGCCGGCACGTACAGCTCCGTGCGCGGCCATATCGGGCAGCTCCCGGGAAGGACAGGGGCGGCGTACGGCCGCATACTCCCATAGATAAGGACAGGGGCTGCGTACTAATCACACGCATCACCTGTCCTTCCCGGGAGCTGCCCGATACGGCCGTGCACGCAGCACGGAGCTGTACGTGCCGGCTTTTTCTCGTGTGAATGAGGCCTTAGACCAAGGTCAGTTTTTGAGTGTCTCGTAGGGAAGTAATAGAGTGTCAGTCCATTGTAGTTAGAATGTGCTAGTGATGTGCAGACATTTAAAGGGTTCCACAAAAGTAAGCTAATTAGGACACAAGTCAGTGCAGCTCTGTATTTATTAATACATCCTTAAATATATTTTTAAATGCAAGCAGTTTAATACCTGAATTTGGCTTGGTATCAGCTTCTTGCAGTGCCCTGTATAACAGAGCTTGGATGGGGTGAGGGAGAAGCAGCACACACAGCAAACCAGATATTGTGTAGTACTCATCTCATGTGCTAATAAAGAACATGCCAACGGGAGGAGAGAGCAGTGACAGAAGGTTGAGCTCATCAGTATACTGCATCTCTTTCTCTGTCCAGTCAAAGGCTGGGGGAAGGACAACACCTGTAAGTGTTAGTTAAATCAGAACCTAAGCTACGAATAAGAACTAGTAGGGCTAGTTCACGCCACAAACTGTGCGTTTCCGGCCCGATTTGGTGCCAGAATGCACTGAATCGCATCCTGGCCAGCTCCCTGCGTTCAGGGGCGGGAGGAGGCGTGGCAGTGCATTTAAGTCAATGGCACCACAGCCAGGCCCACCAACTGCAGTGCGATCGCCCACACCCAAACGCGAGGCACATCAATGCCTGCGTTCCAGTCCCATGCAGTCAGAAAAAATAGTGCATGCAGCACCGGACCGGAACACTGTTTGTGGTGTGAACCAGATTTTTCAGTATCGAGTACGAGTACCGATACTTTGCTTTTGGTACTCGTCGATACCGAGTACCGATACCGGTGCTTCCACTGCCATGGAGCCAGCTTCCTGGGCAATCTGTTTGCCCCAGAAGCTGGCTCCATGTTATCTAACCTGCTTGATTAAGCTTGGTTGGGAAACCGGCTTCACAGTCAATCAGCATTGAGTCGGCGGTTGGGGAATGCCGCTGTCTCAGCTGATTGCACTCATACTTGACTTGTTCTTTAATATATCCCCGCCCCACAGCTACCCATCACAATGGAAAGGGGTGGGGAATGCCCCTGCCTCAACTGATTCAGCTCATACCCGACTTGTTATTTAAAATATTTTCTGGCAATATGTGATAAAGGTGTGAAATCAAGAGTAGAAAAGGAAAAGCAGATTTTTAGACTGACTATGATATTTGGAATGCTCGCTTATCCATAGTGGAGTTTAACATTTTTGTTATCTGCCAACAAATGCAAAGCTACCAAATTCAGGATACCATGCACTATGAGGATGATTAAGGCTAGACATACATGGCACAAATGTCAGCTGTTTCCTGCTGAATCTGCCCCCAAATACATTAGATATATGTAATAGTGTGTATACCATTACCTGCAGCTGGTGCGTCTGGTAAAACTCTTCCCCTCACTGCCTCCATCACAGCCACCGGATATTACCCTCAGCAGCTGTCTTCCATGGCTCGGCTGTGAGAGGCTGCAGTGAGTGGAGTCTGTGAGTAGCTAGTCTGAAAAGCTGTGCCACTGGTCCGCCCCCCCCCCCTGCCCCCAGCCCTTCCAAGACCTCTTCTTTTTTTATCTTTCAATGCATTGAGCTCTGTGAATGTAGGAAGAGCAGTTGAATGACAGAATCTTCACCGTCCATTCACAAACACAGTGCATTCTGGGAGAATAGTAATAAGAGGTTTGTGAATGGTTGAGAGAGAAGAGGGGCGGACCTGAAACACAATTTTTCAGACTAGCTACCCTCACTCCAACCGGAAGACAGCTGCTGAGTGTAATATCCAGGGCAGTAAGCTGCCAGGTATGTAAGTCTGCGGCTTTTTCTGGTTTGAATAATGTGCTTGGGTGTGAGGTGGGCTGACACCCGGGCACAGGATTCCAAACCCAGACTGTCCGGGTCAATCCCGGACAGGTGGACACCCTAGGGTGGGAGCTTGAGTTTCCCACCCATGTTTGCTGGACAGCTTGGTCTGTTATAGGAAGCTGAAAAAAAGATTTACTGTCTGAATAACCAGGTCAAAATAAAGGAAAATAAGCCTTAAAAGGGAATGAATACAGGCAGCCACCACATTTAAGGATTGGTATATTATTTTTGCTTTGGGTTTTAAATATACTTTAACTTCTTTAGTGAATCAACCTCTTTATATTAACATGATGTTCACTGAAAGCAAGCAAAACAAAGTTCACACTGGGACCACAATTTTGGTGGGCAAAATCCAGCTCCAAGGCTTAATGTCTATGGAGAAATTACACGTTGTACTTGTCTAGCTGTGTTCAGAGCTTATATTTTGTGTACCCAGGAACCTCCATTCCCCATAGGATTAGCAGCTGTGAAAGCAGGAAGACTTATCATGTATTGTCACTGACTTGTCAATCAATTTTGTAGTAATTGTCAAATCTATGCACTAGAGGACACAAGATACCATAATGTGGGTTTAAACGGACTAGAACCAAATTCTGTTTGAGGCAAATCGAACAGGGATGGGATGATAGGAGGAAAGGCCAGTTTGTCACATGAATGCTACACTGAATTTTAGTTTATGGGCATTGCACTGAAGCTCTGTTACGGGCAGGTGATTACATTTTATGCCTTCCAGGATTGCAGGTCCATATAAAAATGCCCATGGGAAAAAAGCAAAATATAACATTCAAATACATACTTCCTAATAACTGATGGCATACTGATGTTAAAAGTGCCAAGAAAAGCTACCTGAACTTCAGGTACAGGCACTTTCATTTAAATATATTCTTCAATAGCCACAAAGTATATAATTCCACTGTGTGTGCACCAAATGCTTTTGCAAACCCAGTTAGCGCATTGTAAAAATAGCATTGACATCATCATTGGACTGTACCTAGCCTGCACAGAACTTTGGGAGAGACCCAGCAGGCTCCACCCACTAAGGGCTTCCTGCAGTAAACTACAGGAGGGGGTGGATACGAGACCAGTCACACTGCACAAGGAGAGAGAGCAGCAGTGACTGGTCTGTATTACAGGATACCTGCAGGCCTCACTGCAAGTGTAAGTTTTTATTTTCCCAGAGTTCTTCTTTAACGTAAAGGGGCTTTCACATCTTACAGACTTGCTCTTCCATATATCCATTATTGTATGAAATATAGAGACATTATTGATATGTAGATCAATCACCAGAGCGAGCAGTCTGCACTTCCTCTGTCTCCCTTCTTAAAAGAGACAGAGACTGCATTGTTGTCAATGGGGTTGGCTTATTAGTACACAATGTTCGCTTTGCAAAGTAAATTCTTACTTAGCTTAGCAAATGAGGGGAACCTATGTTCATTTTGGACGCTCAATTATGTGCAAGGCAAATTATTTTTAAAAAAACATCTACTTAAACTTAATTACTAAGCTTGGCAAACCTTCTCATTGCAGAGTGAAAGCTCTCTTCTTCAAGAAATCAACACCATTGAGGTTAACTTACTAAAGGAGCATAAACAGTTCACTTAGGCTCTGTTCCCATCTATGCGATGCGGGAGCATGTGCGATGCCACATGCGATCTTGCATCACATGTTGTATTGTAAGGTGTGTTGCGATTCTGTTATTTCTTAATAGAATCCAAAGGCACCTAGACATAGCATGAGTGTTGTATCGCAGAACATCGCATGGTACACAATGATCATGGAATGTGGTGCAATTAGATTTTTTAAAAAGATGCATGCGCTTCTATGAGTGCGGTTTATCTGCAGCAGGCAGTCCATTCGAATACATAGGCTGCCCTACCATAGACACCATAAGTGCACTCTGCAGCCCTTCTGCAATGCTGCATTGCAGAGGTGTGAACGAAGGGTTACGTAAATGTAATGTAAAGTAAATGTTCACAGAGCTTAGTAAATAAGGCGAAGTTGTGTTCACTTCAATAAAACAACCATGAATTAACAAAAAGCCTGTTTTTAAAAGAAATTCCCCTTGCATATCATTGGGTAATCAAAGTGAACAGGGGTTTACCTTATTTACGAACATTCACTCTGCAGTATGAACTGTCTCTCTTTCTTCTTTAGTTTATCAACCCCAGTGAGATGTCAACTCCTAAACTTGCATTGTGAGATGGAACAGGAAAATTGAACCATTGTGTGACACTGCAATGTAATCATTTGCATAATTGGAGTCTAGGAGGGGGATGTCCAGTGAAACATTTTCAAGAAAAATACAAGTCATTGACTTATTTGACTTATTTATTACAGGTATACCATGACCTGGATGAATAAGAACCTTCACAGACATATACAGGTAAACAACAATTTCAAAACATGTTCACGTCTCCTCGGTGCAGTAACACTGAGTCCTGGTTCACACCTGGGTGTTTTACAGCACGTTCCTACGCCCTGTAAAACGCTCAACATGTGAAAACCAATGATTGCCTATGGGCATGGTTCCCACCTGGGCATTTTACAGCGCGTAGGAACGCGCTGGTAAACGCCCTACGCCCAAAGAAGTACAGGAGCTTCTTTGGGGCGTTTTGCCGCGCATTTACATTGGTATTCCCGAGTGTGGATCGGGGTTAACAATCGGGAATACAGCCTACAGGTCTTACCTTGTCCGCGATCCCCGATGTGTCCTCCGGCGGCTGCCGACTTCCGGGTTCCGTCCCTTGCGAGCAGCCGCAGGGGGGCGGAGCCAGCGGGAAGTTTAAAAGTATTTTTTTTTAAATAGATAAATTAAATGGAAAAAAATGAAAATCATACCGCCTGTGAAACGCGCGTTTCACTGAACGGAAAAACGCGCTAAAAAACGAGAGAAAAACAAGCTGAAAAAATACGTTCAGGGGTGAACCCAGCCTTAGTGGTGCAGTGCCATTCATTTTTAATGGCAACCCAATGCACTAAGGCAGGGGTATGCACACTTTGGCCATCCACCTATGGTGAAACTACAAATCCAACCATGCATCTGCCTCTGGGAGTCATGTCTGTGGCTGCCAGAGTAGATCAACATGAGATGGAGGGCATGAGTTTGTCTACCCCTGCAGTAAGGCAATGCAACTCAACTGCATTGTAACACATGGCAATGCATACTGTGCATTGCATTCCTTAAAAAAGGCCTGGTACAGTTTTAGCCACACTGGGCAACATTGGCACCCCATTCAAAGTGAATAGGCTGCCTTAAAACGGAACGTTACCCATTTCTTCAAAATAACAACAAAGATATCTTTATAAATCTTTAGCAATGACAATCTGCAAACACATACTTTTAGATAATTACAGGCTTTTTATTTGTTACATACCTTATTTCTCTTACACATTCTTCTCACAGCGGCCATTTTTACTAAGGGCAGATTACTAGATTTCCCTTTACTTCCTGGAACCTCTGGCACATGTGACTAGGAAATGAAATCACTTGCAATGGACGCTGCTTCATGATGTTTAAAAGTTTTAGTTTACTGCAGAATCAGCTGGTCCCCTGAGCACTGGCTCGAATATCTTGTTTTTGGGTGGCTCCTTTCCCTTGCAGGGTATGGAGCCACCCTTGTGTGTACTAATAGGCTTTGTGTGTCACCACAAAAACAGAGACACAGCAAATCAAGCTACTTCCCATCCCCCCGGCCCCATCTTCTCTCATTTCCCTTCTCTAAGCTAGCAGATGGACAGTTGATGGAGACTGCTCTGTCTCTTGTGATCTTGTACTGGACAGGAAGTTCAGGGGAGCCAAGCTGAGAGAGTTGGAGCTTTTTGGAAACATGATGATTGTAAAAATATAAAGAAATACTTTGCTGGGCAATGTACATATATTTTTGATCTGGACTCATTACAGAAAAAGTTTTGGAGTTCCCTGTCCCCACCAAAACATGCATGTGTCTAGATGTGTTTTTTTTTACCATCACTACTACTATTAAAAGTGATGTGTTGGCATGTTTGCATGTGTTTACATGGGTTGCTATGCAAAATGCAGCTTGCTCTATTTTTTTCAAAATACTATGCATTGCTGTGAACTACACCTTTGGAAAAACCATTATATTTTGTGTAAATGCGTTTTTAAAGCATTTAAAAACGGATCAAAAAGCATTGGGTGGGAATACTACTACTGCCTTGAAGAAGGGACCCTGTGTGGCCCCGAAACGTCGGCTCATGTTGGATTTCTGTGACATCATTGTCCATTAAAAGGACTCATTCATTTTAACTTATGGAGTGCTGGTGACCTATTTTCTTCAATTTTTAACTTATCACAGGTTATTACAGCAACTGTTTAAAGCAGACCTCCGGGCAGAAGTATTCTTAACCCTTGTAGTGGGGATACCCCGGCACTGCAAGGGTTAAGTACTCATTTTGATCTAGGTGCTTAAAAAAGAAAACTCACCCGAACCACAGAGCCGGCTTTCTGGAGGGTCTCTCCCCCTCCGCTGCAGTGGTCTATGGATCCGTGAGTCATCACATTCCAAACATCTCAACTCTCCCGGATGTTTTGGGAGTCTCCCGCTATTAGATAGCGGCTACCGAACACCCGGGAGAGAAACATTTTCTCCCTGAAAGATTTACTCTGCTCAATATAGCAGAGTAATACTTTCCCTGCTCTGTGCTTTGTTTGTTTTTTTCTGACATCGGGAGCCGCTGGCTGCCATCAGTCAGAAAACAAAAAAGGCATAGGAATGAATAGCTGGATTGCTATTGGCTATTTCAATTTGCAATAGCCAATAGCAGACTAGCTATTGCACCCGCCCACTGCTGCTGTCAATCAGCAGAGGTGGACCTGCAGTTCTCCATCAGGTCCACAGCTGCAGAGGGCGGGTGCAATAGCCAGCTTGCTATTGGCTATTGCAAATTGAAATAGCCAATAGCAGCCTAGCTATTCATTCCTATGCTTTTTTTTTTATTCTGACGGCAGCAGCTATCAGAATACTAACCAAAAAAACAGCAGATAGCAAAGAAGCTAATGCTTCCCTTGCTATCTGCTATCTGCCATCATTTCAGGGGGGTGCTCTCTTCCTTGTTGTTGCACCACCCCCCTCCCCCCCACAACTGAGATTCTATATACAGTGTATAGGACGTGAGGACGCTGAGGGAAATACCAACGTATAACTTTTTTTAGCACCTAGACAAAAACAAGCAGTTAACCCTTGCAGTACAGGGCTAGCCCCCACTTCAAGGGTAAGAACACTTTTGCCCGGAGTTCTGCTTTATGTCTTAGGTATTCTAGAAGTGAAAGGCTCGTCCCTATCCTCCTCTATTTTTAGGAACATTACGAGAGGCAGGTCTTCATAAAAAATAGTCATTTGTTCAATTTAAGCCCATAATCTATTTTTTTACAATCACAGTTCAGTAACTGCCCTATAGTCATTTTATAAAAGCCTAACCCAAAACATGCAGTGACTAGTCCCAGACTTCCCGGGAAGGATGGAGTATTAGGCAATACTTGGATCTAAAATGTTTTCGCTCAATTCTTGTCCTGACAGGTCAGCGGAGCAATCAGCATCACATTGTGTGGAGACATTAGAGGCCGGGGGAAAACGCTGTAATCAACAGATAGGGATCAAAGAAAGCATGGTAAGTCCAATCATTCCCTCCTCCATGCAACCTACTTCCAGGTATATCCTATGAGGTGACGGCTGTGTGTGATGTCACACTCATTGTTAGTAACTGTACGGGTGCGGCTGAATATATACACCTATCATACTACCTCTTCTCCACTTCTCTGTGGCTGCTGTCAGCTCATCTCCTCCTTCCACAGAACTGGGCAGAAAGGTGATGCATGCTTACCATGAATATAGATCTATTTGTATTAGAATTTTCTGCTTTATTTGATAATAATACAAGTGATGGGTAAAATGTTGTGACTATGGCAATCTATCCATTTTTTTTTCAGTCTACAACAGGGGTAGGCAACCTCGGCATGCCAACTCTTGTGGAACTACAAATCGCATGAGGCACTGCAAGACTCTGACAGCCACAGGCATAATGGGATTTGTAGTTTCAGCTCAGCTGGAGTGCCAAGGCTGCCTACTCCTGGTCTACAGCATGCCGAAAAAATAAAATGTAATTACTGTTTAGTTGCTATAGGGAACTGCATTTGACATATTCCTAGCTTTATTAGGTTGTATTGTTGCTTGTTGCGTATTTTGCTTTTCGTTTTTTTTTATTAAGAAGCTAACATTGATTTGCAGCACATCAGGATTGTTCACTTAATAGCAGGGGTAGGCAACCTTGGCACTCCAGCTGTTGTGGAACTACAAGTCCTATAAGGCATTGCAAGGCTCTCACAGCAACAGGCATGACTCCCAGAGGCAGTGGCATGTTGGGATTTGTAGTTTCACCACAGCTGGGGTGTCAAGGTTGCCTATCCTTGCTGAATCGGTTTATTAATTGCAGCAAGTAGAATGTTATACATAATCAGGTGCTTCTTTTAAAAGGTTATTTACTGGCCACTGTTAACTGCACTGGTTTTTGAAGACTTTAGAAAGGGTTTGTCAAATATAAGGTTCTTTAGCTGCAACTGCCAGAGTCTGGGAGGTGGTGCTAGGATTTGTAGTTCTCCAGCAGCTAGAGAGTCGGGTGGTTTGTCTGGGCTTCAGAGACAGGACTGTTTGCTAATAGTTTGAATTTGAATGATGGGTTTGTGGTGATGGGCACCTATGATGACAGGTACTCTTGAAGGGTACCTTTGATGACAGGTACTCTTGAAGGGTACCTATGATGACAGGTACTCTTGAAGGGCACCTATGATGGTTCTTTATAAGGATATCTTTTGCTATAAGTGTGATCATGTGACACTGTCATTCCGCCAGGCAATAACTATGGAAGTTGAATGTAGCTGGGAAAGTTGGTAGGGAGATGTTACCACTTGATTCTTGGAATGATGTAAGAAATCAGAATGTGATTTGTCACACACCACACACACTGAAATACCAGTTTAGCCCGAGGTTGGACAAGTGATAGCAAATTTAGGACTTTATTTGTTAACAGAAATTGTATTTCGGAAAGTGTTTTTTTTTCTTTATATTTAAAGCTGAATAAATGGCTAAATTGTCCACATGTATGAGAGCAGCAGGGGCGTCACAAGGAAGGTGCGGGGAGGTGCACCCGGATGACACCATTGGAGGCAGGGCCGTAGATATTTTCTTTTCCTGGGGGGGTTCAGCTTCCTCAAATTATAAGACTTTATCTAGCAGACACACCAAGGTTTAAAAAAAATATACCAGCTATATCATTGCTAAACCAATCCTTTACCCTGAGCAATACCGATATTGTTGTTTGACACCATATGGATAAAAACTATGGGGTCTATTCACGAAGCAGCCGAAGGATCTAGCCGTAACTTCGCCCGATCCTTCGGCTAGCTTCAGCCCCAGGACCCCTTCGGTTCAGTAGAACCGAAGGGCTGCAGTACAGGCTATTCACTCTAGCCCGTACAGGTCCCGAACGTGGTCGAGCAGCTCAGTCGAGCCGAACGCACCTCGGCTCAGCTCGGCTGAGCCGAGGTGAAAGCCAAAGCTGGCCGAGCGGAGCCGTGTCAGAATAGAATTTTGGCCATAGGAATGCATTGCTAGATAGACCCAATAGCAAACTAGCATTGCACCCGCCCTCTGCTGCAGTACTCCATCAGATAAAGGTTGGGGAGCACTGCTCTAGACCAACTGTTCCCTTGCCTATGTTTTCACCTCCTGATCCACCTTCAAATCACCTCATTCTCCAGTGCTGCTTTGTTAATTTAGGAGCCATTTCTGGGCTTGCTCCAATTTTACCGGTGGTGCCCCTTCTAATCTGTCATGGAGGAGAGACTTGCGTGATTTCAAGCCTACACTCCATGGTGGTTCCGGAGGGGTGCTGCCGCACCACAAGAAGGGAGCACAGAAACGTGTCTAAAGCCATTGATCTACAATGGAGGCCCACCACATAGCAATACATTATACAGCAATGCAGAATACCACCAGCTATAGGACCAGAATACCACCAGAGGACTACAAATTCCAGCAATACATTATATAGCAATGCAGAATAATATGAAGCTACATAATCTGTGTTGCTCCAGGGTGGTGGCCTGATGTCTCCAGGGTCTCAGGATGGCTGTGTGGAGTCTCAGGACGACTGTGTGGAGTCTCAGGATGGCTGTGCGGAGTCTCAGGAATGCTGTATGGGGTCTCAGGAGGGCTGTGCAGAGTCTCAGGAGGGCTGTGCAGAGTCTCAGGAGGGCTGTGCAGAGTCTCAGGAATTATGTATGGGGTCTCAGGAGGGCTGTGTGGAGTCTCAGGAGAGCAGTGTGGAGTCTCGGGAATGCTGTATGGGGTCTCAGGAGGGCTGTGCAGAGTCTCAGGAATGCTGTATGGGTCTCAGGAGGGCTGTGCAGAGTTTCAGGAGGGCTGTGGGGGTCTCAAGTGGACTGTGCGGAGTCTCAGGTGGGTCACTGTCCTGGTCACTGGAAGGACACCCTGCCTCCTGCAGAGCCCGCAATGAGGCATGTACAGAACATCCAGGGCCAGGCAGTCACATGTACGTCTGAAGGGATGCCGGGGATGTCCTGTTTGATAAATCATCGGCATATACAAGTCAGACACTCGGTCATGGACCGAGAGCCCGACAGTGTCAGGAGAGAGGAGAGGACCTGACAGCATACCTCAATCCAACTCTCTGCCATGTTTTTATTGAGGTCTTGGTCCTTATTGGAGAGATTTTATGTCATTCTTTGTGTGGTCACTGCAAGAGGAAGTGAGCAGAGTTCCTCCAACAGATACACAGGCAGGAGTAAACATTGTTTTATTATTACTTGTGACCCCATTGAAGATATTTCTGCTCAGTTTTTGTCCCAGTGACTACACTAGCAGTGACAATGTTGCAAACAACATTTTCACTCTTCCCCACGCCGATGCTGTCTTAACTATTAAAGGATATGTAACCCAATAACAAAAACATAATATATTGCAGCTTAGTGGTCCATAGATGTGGGGGCTGCCTTCATTTTCTCTTTTCAATAAATTTTCTGCAAGTACAGAAATATATCTGTTGATCCTGCCAGAAAGCTTGAGTCCTTGTAACTTCCTGGGTATTGAACTAAAATCTAATGCAATGTTATCAGCTTTCCCAGATAATTTTCTATGAACTACAAAACCGGATCATGTATGTATTGGGGATGGGGAGGTGTTTGTAGTCCAAATCAGGGACGCAACCTATTGGTGACAACCCTAACTTATATACAATATAATGATTGAGCATTGTCACCCCTAGGACATGGAGCAAGTTACTGGTAAGTAAAAAAAAAAAAGCATGAATAAATTAAATGCCGCCACCACCACATGCCGCCACCACCACACCACCAGCATTTTTTTTTGGGATAGAGTAGAGAATTGTTACAATTCTAGGGCTGTGGAAATTAACGATTCATTTCTCTATTAATCGTAAAAATTTTTGATCGATTAAAATTCTTTTGATCAAAAATGAAAACTCACCTCTCCGCCGGCTTCCGGGTCTTACGCGAGTCCCGTCGGAGATCCCTCCCCCCTTCCCTTCGTTAGCCGACGGAGCTACTTGGGCCGGTGTTCTATCGATAGTCCCAACTTATCGAGTTCTGGGACTGCCTGACTTCCGGTTTCCTTAGAACTACAAGGTTTGCCCAAGAAAGTTCTTCTGCACGAGCGCCAGCCGCGGCATTGGCCTATACACACACAGCACAGCAATAAAGTACTAAAATGAACTAGGATCACACTAATCCAGCACGTTATTATTCTGAGCTGCCCCACTCAAGCGGCGGCCATATTGAGTGGGGCACGTGAGATTAATAACGTGCTGAATTAGTGTGATCCTAGTTCATTGTATTACTTCATTGCTGTGCTGTATGTGTATAGGCCAATGTAGTTGGATCTGTATGTGCGTTATAATTAATCGAAATTAATCGATAAAAAAAATTTGATTAATCGAACATGAAAATTTTAATCAGTAACAGCCCAATAAAATTCCTCTTAGGTTTTTGTTAACCATCTCTGTCCCATTGGGGAGGTTTCACTTCACTTCCTGACATGTAGACATATCAGGAAGTGAAGTGAGGAAGTGAGAGGAAATACCCTATTAGACAGTTATCACAAGAACTAGTGTCCCCATTGGATAATTCCTCCTTATATCCTGTTCTGGTGACAACTCACAATTTTGGATTTGTTCCCTCACTTTCACTCCTAATTACAGGGTGACTGGGATAAACAGAGAAATTAATCTCATTAAAGGGGACTTAATACCTGACATGGATACTATTCCGTCACCACATTATCCAAAACGAAAGCTTTTCTGAGTTTAAATTCACTTAAAGGAGTTGTCCCAGTATATACCATCCTGTTATAACATCAACATTGTAATAGGAATACATACTAGAGATGTTTTTGATGCAATCAGAGCTTACTTGAAATAATCCCTTTCATGTAGTGAGTGCTGCCTTCCACCTGCCCATCACTTTCACCAACTTCCTGCATCCCCAGTGTGCTTTGCATTTATTTCCTTGCTGTTTGATGTGATGCAATCTCGAGTTCTCAAGACTACATATCCCATCATGCATTGCTTCCAGCA